GCCACAACCCAGCCTTACAGTATACACGTTCTCGTTACTACAAGTCACGATTTTTCAAAGAAAAAGCGTGACAATATTTCGACAAAAAAATTATATGTGGAAATATAAGAAACACGATAAAAAAACGATTAAAACTCACCCACGTTATAGTGAAGTTCGCAAGCTGAGAAAATCTTCACTACAATTTATATCGATAGAATATTAAATATGCTTTAATAATTCAGTAATCCCATAATTCATTACATCAAGAGTTCACTACGTATAACAAGGGTGTCTTTATTTGGGCATACTGAATCTTTCTGTTATTTGACTCATGATTATATTTTTATGATCTTTTATAGTTTTGTCGAATTATTTATTGGCTCATGCATGCATATTTGTTTATAAATTCAATTACAGCAGAAGTTTACTATGTGCTCCTTTGAACATAACGAACCGAGAAACTTTAAAATTATATTTATATTGAGTTTGGAAAGTGTGAATTTTATATATTCAATAATTTAATGTCATTTATACCATTTCATTTATTTTTTACTATTCATTTTAATCTGTTCGTGATTGTCATTTAATAATCAAATTTATTTTTAAAATATGTATAACTACTTCTGTATTTACTCTAGTCTAATAGTCGTGGTCTCTTCTCTTAAAAAACAATTAAAAAAAAACCTCCCCTTCCAAACAACCTTAATACTCAAAATAAATAAATAAGTAAAATTTATTAGTATTCATGAGAGGTGAAATTTACTATATGTTTTATATTTAATCTACAAAAAATTTTACCACAAATTTTAAAGCTAAAATTAAAGATAGGATTTGAAGCTTAAATTAGAGATTAGGATTAATTTGGATGCTGAACATTTTTACTTAGTATACAAATATCAATTGTCAAGATCGTTTTTGAGAAACATATCCGGTGAGTTTCGCCTTCATTAAGCGTTAAAATTGTCCAAATAAATAAAAGCTTGATAAAATCACGAAAAATAATGGTTGAAAAAATTTTGAATTAAAATTTTCCAGTGAATTGTAAAGTCATAATTTCATGTACGGTGCCACTGATTGGTGGTAACACTTGACTTTTCATATATGTGTAAATGTATTACATGAACAGTATTTAATATCGATTTAGAACATAATTTCTTTTGTCAAAATGTCAAATATAAAAGACAATAACTCATCAGACGAAATTATTCAAGTCACCAATGCTTTTAAGTAACTGGATTTCATTATCTGTCTAGTGTATTTATGCTTGGTTATCGTTACAAGCATGAAATTTGAGTGGAAAAAAAACATTTTTGCCTTAAAATTCAAAGTAATTAGAATAGTAAAATGTTTTGTAAATAGTAATTTTCAAAATTGATTAAAATTCTTAGATTTAATTAAAATAATGGGATTTATTTAATTAAAAAATATTTTTCCCCTAATTAGCAAAGATGACTAGCATATTAAAAATTTTTATAAAATAATAATTTTACACAAATTCTATAAATACATACCCTCTCTAAGTGTACACTTATTTATGGTACATTTAGAAAGGTATCACCAGGAGCCTAGATATTAGATACGCTAAGATCGAATATTTTCGAATCTATTATATAAATAAATTAATTATTTAGAATGAATAATAAATATTTAGAAATTACCATATCATATCAGCTGATTTTTAATGAAATCCGATCTTCCCAGTAATGCATCTCATTATATATATGAATTTATATATAATTGAGGCACCCTAACCTAGGGAGATTGGATTTCCTTATTCAAATCAGCCGATATGTATAGCAAGTGCAGATCAGCAATTGAATCCATTGGATTTTTTGCCGCTGAAATATATCTAAGATATTTGATTCGATTGCTAATGCACATTTGTGCTGTGCAAATTTACAATAATTTTTTATTTGATTGGTTTATAGTATTTATTTTAACAGCTTACCATACATTATAAAATTTGAATGTATCTTACACGTAACTTACATATAAGATATGATTTACAACCCTAACCGTCATCGATTTTTGCCCTCATACGGTAACGTTCATCCAGCTGTTGTTACTATCATAATTATTTGATATTAGTTATTGGGAATATTTGGTATGATAGTAACAACATGGCTGCATGAAAATTATATCTTTCAAACCTAGAAAATTACCTCTGAATTTAGCTGATTCATATACTAGTCTAATCTCTTTGATGCTTATAGATCTGCTAGTATACTTTGAATTTTGGTAATTCGACAAGATAATTTGTGTTGCTTTGATCTTATCATTAGCAGAAATAAAACTCCACTTAATATCAGGTTGAGATATTGGATTCATCATAGTTATGCGCCATTCTAAAAGGTTTGAGCTAATATATTTAGCACTAGGTCTGTTGCATGGTTTGTAATCCATGCATTGCTTAGCTAATTCAATATAGCATTTAGGTATTCCTTTAGAAAAATTCAGGCCGTAATCCTTTACAAATTTCTGATGCAAGTTTATAGTCAAAAGAATAATCATTAAAAGGCCTTTTTCCAGTTGCAACTCTGCCATAATAATGCCCAGACTATATATATCGGCTGCTTGTGTATATTTTTCACCTAATAAACCTTTCGGTGCAATATATGGCATTACACTGATTCTTCCAGATATCTGAATAATCCTAAATCGGTAATAAATGACTTTATAGAAATATTACTATATTGATTTATCAAAATATTTCTACTATGGAAATCACAATGGATATATCCTGATTCATGAATTTTGGCTAGGTCATTTGATACATCTATAAGATGCTTCAATTTTCTTTCCTAATCGAGTTCTTTAAAATTTGATATTAAAAAATCGTATAAATTTCCTTTATTTGCATATTGAAATACCATATAATATTCCTGAGTTTTTATATGTTGAGTTATTTCATATATCTCAAGCCCAAGACCATTCAATCTACATTGGACGTGATTGTTTAACTAATTGTCAGAATATCTGTATACATATTGTATATATATTTTTT